CCCCAAAACCCCAAAACCCCAAAACCCCTCTATATATAAATTTGAAATTATTCTTGATTATTAATTTATGAGAAGTTATGAAATAAAATTTAAATGATAATCATGATATCAGATATAGTAAAGAGGCAGTTTCTTTTGGATATTTGAAATCATCAATTTTTGTGGCCTAAAATTTGTTTTAGAGTTTCTGAAAGATCTTAAGGCTGCTAGAAATTTCTTAGTGATGATCCAGGGCTTGAAAACTTTAGCTACCTTCTTCTGCATCTTTCTAATAAATCCATATTCTAGTTAAGCTCTTATGATGTATTGTCATCATTTTTAGATTCTGTTGAAACTAAATTGATGTAATTGGATTCTGGTATTTCAATGACATCTTTCCTAGGCACTGGACTCTAAAACATATTCTAAGCATCATTCTAATTTTTAGGCTAATTCTATTTTGAGGTGATAATGGAAGCATTTTTAGGAATCACCTTTTCAAAAGCTGACTTTTACCTTTTATCAGTGGCAAAAAGATTACTAGATTATTCCATTGGTCTTTTTTGTGGGAGTATATTTTTGCTTAAATCTTACTGATTTTGAGTAGAATTTTTAGACTGCTATATGAATAATTGTTACTTTTATTGGTCTACTTATTCTATGTTCTAAGCATTAGGAATAGGAATATTGGGGGCCTTCTTATAGTCTCTTGCTGGGACAACTTCTAGTATTTCAAGAGATGAATCACTGTCTAGATTTTCAGCTAAATCCTATTTAGCCTACTTTAGATTTAACTCTTGCTTTATTTCAGAGTTTTCTTATAAATTGTTCTCGCTAATCTCAGGATTTTATTAAATTATTGTTATCTTTGAGATAGTTTTCTTTTCTTATTCTTATCCAAAAGAGCAACTTTCTGAGTTCCAAATCATTATACGATGCTTTGAAATAACTTTCAAAGTCTAATCTATCTTTAAATCTGATTCATCTTTTTCTTTTTCTGTCAAGTTGCTAATTATTTCAAAAAAGAATTGGTCAAAGTATATCTCTATAGCTCTTTTGTTACAAACAGGGCATTTCCAGATTTAGTTTTTCTAGTTCATACTAATGTAAGTTTTAAGATCAAAACATTAAAAATGGGTACACAGTTTACCCCTTCCAGGAAACTAGATTACATTTGCAAAGAGATACTGACATTTAACAGAGAATTTCTCCATTTCTATAAAGTTTTCTTCAAAATTTCTCTTAGCAATATGTGAACCAACTTGCTTGCTAATAACTATCTGTTGACTTAATACTTCCTCTGGTGAAGCATTAGATAGATTTAGTACTTAGTATACTCCAAAGATGTAAATAGAATCATTCTCTTTCGGATATGGCGTCACAGTAATAGCAATCTTTTAGACCATCCCTGTCTTTGTTAAATCTTATCCTATCATGTATGGAAGATCCTTTCTTCTTCCAGCTACATTAGGATCTCTTGCTTTAACTTCATTTTTTTTGGCATTGTTAACTTTGAAAGAAAATCCTGGCGGGAATTCAGTTTCATACTCAAATTTTGAATTGATTTTCAAGCACCTCAACTCAATTTCCTCATTTGGCTTTAGACTAGCTTTGTAATAATTAAAATTTAGGAGATATGACTTAGATTATTAGTCCAATTTAGGTATCTCAACTTGTAGCAAATCTCCAAATCTTTAAAAACTTGGGGCAAATATGTCCACAGCTAAAAGCTAGCAAGAAACACATTCGTTAATCTTAGACGGAAAAACAGTAAAAGGATTTACAAGAGTCTTATAATTTTTGGTTAAGGGTGAACTACATCTGTAGCAGACCTTATCAGGACCTATTAATTTATTTACTTCTGTTTACTAAGTTTGCAATGATTTTTGTTGGATCATTATATTGGGCTGAATATTTTATATCTACTGTGCCTATTATGGAGGTATTAGCAAATTTTGAGCAACTGATGGTTAAAGCTTTGGTTGAGGAAGAGGGAAGAACTTTTATTATGCCTATGTCTATTTTTGCTGCTGGAATGCATAAGAATCTAAAAGCTAATCAATGTTATTAGCAAATAATTGTTGCTGAGATGGAGGTACTCTTAAAAGATTATTATTATGAATCTAAATTAGATTTGAAGGAATTTGTTGGCTATTAGCTTGGATAAATCTTTGATTAATATCTGCTTAATTTCTTAAGCTTTGCTAATTCAAATTCGAGTAAGGCAAAACTCCAGGAAATCCTTAAATAAATTCTAGATTTTATTTATTTAATGGCAAGAAGACTGAAGAATTTTTATTTGGACCTTGATTGATGATCGGCTTGAATTAAGAGAAAGGTGAGTTGCCTTCCTATAATTCAGTTTATTTAGATGGAGGAGATATTTCATCTTCTGAGTCCGATATGCATATAATATCGATTTGCTTTGCGGGTATTATTTATTATTGTACAGCCTGAAGCTGATTTCCTGAAGAATTATTTGCCGTGTTATTCAAGTTCATTTTATCTTCTTTTTATTAATTTTAAAATTGAAGGGCTTGAGATTATTCCTAAAGCTATTAATCATCTTTCTGATTCAATTTATTTAATTCGTTGTTTAAACTTATCAGTGAAACCTAAGAGAATCCTTCCATCTATAAAGTCGAATCTTTATCTTTTACTTTAGTGAAGTCAAGTTAACTCTGCCTTAAACTGTGAAGATGAGGAGCATCCTTATTTTTTCTTGGTCTTCCTCTCTATGACTAACTTACTAGTGTTTTATTGTAAGTGTAACTATTATAGCTCAGTTTATCATCATCCATGCCATTTCCAATTACTGATAAATTTCTCTCACTCACATTATCAAGAGTTTTTGATCCTCCACTATACTTAAATAGTGTGCTTTCTTAGTCTTGCAGTCTTTCAAGGAACTATATCAAGTCAACACCTTCAAATTTCTCATATTTAGAGTAGAGTTCACTCTCAAGCGAGTACTTTTTAATAAGAAACATGCTAAAATCAACTAGGATTATTTTGATATTGCTATAGAAATGAGATATAAACGAAAATAAAAGTACTGAAAATATTAAAGCTTAGGCAACCCTGAAGCTGGAAAGAGGTCTTTAACGAGCTGGAAGTTATTATTAAACCGGTTTAGAGTGGCGCGTAAAATCTTATACTCTGCAAATGACTCATTAATGAGAGCTAATTTTTTGCAGATAAGTTTTATCTTGACAAACTTGTCCATTTTAGTTTTGAGATCACTTTTATCGTCAAAGAGTCCGACATCGACAGCTATTTTGTTCAAAATTGGGCGCTAGAAATCTTTGATGAAAGAATAAACTTCCATAGTCATTTCTATGCCAACAATTTGCTAGATAATCTCCAATTTGCTATCGATCTTTTAGATATCTAACCTAATTTTGTGTTTATTTTCAAATAAACAGGAAAAATCTAGGTCTTTGTCAAAATTGTTGTGAATTAACTCAGGTATGTAGCTATTATCACTGTCTAAGTGAATGGGAGTGAACATATGTCTTGTGGGGTTTATTAGTATAAATGTTTAATCTTGATCTAATTATCAAATTAAATGCGATTTACATTATTTCAAAATAATTGTTTCACAGAATAGAACTGATATTTGCTTTAAGGGGTTTTGGGGTTTTGGGG